TTCAAATTTCCTATATCCACCTATCACACCTTTATTGTTACCATTTTTACCATGTTTATTTGGATGTAGTGCCCTTTTGAGCGGCTTTAAGGAGAACACTCCACACTCGAAGCTGACCTCCTTTTTCCCCTCCACTCTTACGCTAGGGATATTGATCAGAGTCTGCCGTATTGTTATGCAGTCCTTCCATAGGTCTTATAGTCTCCCTCTTGCCCCGTAGAATCCGTCTGCTATCGCCCTGGTTCAACTATTTCACTCGACCTATGACACTCCATCTGTGCTACTCGAGGCGTTATTTCTAACACTGTGTCTAAGTGACTAATTTAATGCTAAAACCTTTGAATAAGTCTCATGGTCATGTCTTTGCTAGGTAGACCACATCTGGTAAGACCTACTGTCAGCCAACTAACTCAAGTCTCCGCCGCGTCTATCCGTAATTCCAAGTCTGGCATTCTATACCTTAGTCTCGTGTGCCAACCCACAAATGTTGTGGTACTGCTTGCTTTGATTAGGTTCAATGTTAAACCACAAAGTTTGTGGGCTCTCTAAATTGCATCATATACTTTAGAATTTTAATTTACTTATCTTACATCTTATTGAAGGTCTGTCCATCTTCCGAAGATCAGTCACATACCAGCTCACGATTATTAAATAATATGAACATAATCGAGGGTTAATTGGACTATTGATATCGACCAACATTGATGTAGTCTCATGAGGCCTCTTTTGAAGGTGTGCTTCGCGATAGTGTAGAATGTATTACTTTATTTGATTAGTGCAAATGCCAACTCTTCATTCTGTTCTCATATTTTTTCTTAATCATTTAATTTTAAATTTTAAAATTCGAACGTCTTTCTTAAATGCTCTTCTGACATCTCTTTTATGTCAAATTCTTCCAGAAGACCATTTAGATGTCCATTCAAGCACAATGACTGGGGTAGTGGGAGGAAATAAAAAGCGTGGTGGGAGCAATGGGGTTAGAGATGTCGGCCTAAATTCATTGGGAAGCCGCAGGAACCAGCTTGGTCCTTCCATTCAATCGACTATGGGAACCAGTTCTGCCACTACACTTGCCTCTGGTTCTCATTCTTCTTCAAGTGTAAGGAAGCAAGTCGGTCCAACCTCGATGGGCTCTCAGCAGATTCAGCCCCCTGCTGGAGGAGGCTGCGCAAATAAATCGAGTTCTTCAAGCCATCCTGGGCCTTATCTGAGTTCCGCTGTTTCCAATAGAGGATGCAGTTCTGCCAGCGGCCAAAAAACTGGTAGTTCAGGTGGCCGCCATGCTTGCACGGAAGCAGGCCCCAATCCTGGTTGTGTGGGCGGGAGTGACACTAGTAATAAGTCTGCTGGAAGCAAGAATGCGTCGACACTTACTGCAGCTGGAGGCGATCACCACGCATCCGATGCTAAGCAGCTTGGGACGGGAGTAAATAACAGGGAATTCCGAACAAGCAACAGTTACAATACGGTTCTGGCCGACCATTCGCTTGGCAAGGATACTCACAATAGCTGAATGAATAGGCCCCTTACTTAAATTTTGGGTCACCGATTGCCTTGTGTGGCAGTCTGTTGCTAAATAGCGAATTCAACTGGCACTCATTTACTTTTTCATTTCCTCTTTCAAACCCTTATTTTGCTGGGCTTTCTGTGACTTGAAATTTAGCTGCTGCTCTCAATTGCTCGATGACACGCAGCGATTGTGCATTTACTCTGAATATATTATAAGTATGTGGATATTTACACATGTGTGTTTGAAGAGAATATGTCCTAACTCAACTGGCCTGATCTTTCTACTCTATATTTTCTTCTTATTTTCAACTTAACAGATGTTTTGATGCCTAGATACGCTTTGCTCTAAAACGGATTCTATAGTTTCACTTCATGGGAGTACGTTACCAATTCCCACCTTGCACTTGCTAGGAAGCTCGTTAACTGATTCTAGCTTTCATTTCTTCCGAATACGAACATTTATTATTGGTCGACTCAGGTTTGGCATCTATCATCTGCGATACTCACTACTTTCTTCAGGCATTAGTTCAGCTCTGTCGACCGAATCATTCTCATTATGTGGCTGGCGCGCACCATCTGGCCAATTGCAAAATCTAATTTTCAAAGAACGACTGACTTCTCTACAAACCGTAGCAGTCAATAAGTCTGATGCTATTTTTCAGAGTGCACGATATGGAGATCTGTAAAAATTGAATACTTGTTCGACACGAGCTGACATGATTTTTATTTTTGAAACGAGTTACTTTTGCTGAGACCTCTTTCTGAATATTTTTTATTTCTTTCCTTTCAAAATTTGTTTGTCGGCAGTCATACCGGCTACTTTGATGTAATGCGTAGGACGCATTGATCAACATGTGTACACTAAGGCTGGTGTTTGTAATGAAGAGAATTTGGGAGTTTAAACCTATCATCATCGAATAGTAACGAGCTGTTTGTTTATTGTAAAAAGGCAAGGTTCAATAGTTGCCAATTGATCATAGTCCTCCATCCCCAACCGTGAGACAGCTTTTGCACTATTCTATTCCGCTGGTAATGCAGTTTCTTGGCACGCCCGACTGGGTTCATATTTTCCATCCTTAGCACAGTTTGATGGCCCAAATCAGTGTCACGTTTTTGATTTGCTTTTATCCATCCTCGCGCTGTGCATCCCTAAGTGATTTAAATGGATTAATCTTGTGTTGATCCACCACAGTTATTTACTCTTGTACAGATCACGTTTCCGAGAATGATAATCAGCATCCTCCACATGGGCGCAATATCGTTGATTGGCTTTTGGCGTAATCTACGATC